ACACAGCGCTTTTTAAATGGGAATAAGTCACCCTCCTACCTCCATCCTGAGGGACAACCAAACAGGATGGTTGGAAACAGGGTCAACTCTAGTGTTGGTACTTTTTCGAAAATTTTACGACCCCCCCCCCTCGCTGGTACACCTGTACCAACGGACGGCTGTCCTCGATTTGCTTCAAGGTGAATCTGTTTGGCTCCTCACGAATGATTTCTCATTCTACATCCCTATATTATCGGGTTTACTTATTCTTGAAGTGATGTTCCTGATGACTGCGTACGATTGCTCTCTGCTGGTTTAGGCGATCATTACACGTTTCCAATCAATGATTTGATCAGCTACATAATCTCTCGTAATCTTCTTTAGCCCGCACTCCAGTCCTCTTTGTTTAAGAATCGATTTGAAAAAGTGAAACGGAGCACAGGCTAAAGAGGATTACAAGCCATGTAGTTGATCAACATATTGGTGACAGCGCCATGCGCATGAGTTTCACATTCTCACACGAAGGGCCTCGTTTCACCGAATTCATTTGGCATTTTTCTGTTCTGAATTCACATTTGCCCATGTGCTCATGGGGTCGCAAAATAGCGCACCGATCAGAAGTAACGGAATTCTCGGAGGGTAATTATTATTCTGCCAAAGTATGAAAAAGGATGACGTGATGCGCTCACAACGAGCTGTTATCGATTTGTTTGAAAAATGGTACGATAAATTGGTCGCCCACTGGGAATGACAGTAGAGCTACATACAAGGAAAGGCTCGCCATGGCCCTTCAGGAAGTGATGTATACTGCTAGATGTGCCTTTGAACGCTGATCTCAAATCTACCTTCCAAATCTGCTAAACGATTTTCTGAAGGGAGTTATGAAGCAAAACAGCGCAACGGCAGTGGTCGGGATTTGCAGTCAAAACGTCGTAGGATCGGCCCCTGATCGCGTAACTTCTTTCAGTTCTTCAGGAATCAGTTATAGCATTTTAAAGCAACAATCCAGGAACGAATTCGCGGGTAAGGACCACCTATAATGACGTTGCAGGTGAGAAGTTGGTCAATGGAGAAAGAAAAAGTAGAAAAAAACGTCGGGCAGGGGCTTAGACAGGGACTCCCCCTGCCGTTTAGGGAGACGTGTGTTGGACGAGTTGTCCGAACCTGCCCGTAGTACATGCGCTCCAATTGCAACTGCTGGCAAATAGCCATGCATGCTTGCAAATACATAACTATTTGCCAGCAATCGAAATTGAAGCGCTTCAATTGCGTTCTTATGGAATCGACCTCATACAGCGCGGCGGTCCCGCAACGACCGCTAGTCAAGCACGGACTCTGCACAGCGTATGTTGGGCGATCCGCCTCTTTATGGGTGATCCGCCCCCTCCAAGAGGACTTCGACCCCTTCCAGCGCATTTTAGAGGTAGGTTTTGAAATTAAAGACATTTCCTATAAACTTTAGTTGGGCTGGGGCATGTTTTGACCGCCTAATGACCAAGTAGTTGAAACCCTGCCTGGACTGTTGCTTTAAGGGCTGTACGATTATTTCTTTCTTCGTTCTTGAATGCCATGGCGACCTGAGAGCTTTCTCTTGTTAGATGTACTGTAGCGGAGAAGGAAAATCAAGAGAAACGGCCTGACGAGTTGCCCCGCGGATTTCTGTGTTGGACAAGTCGCATCGGTGTTGAAGCCATCAACGTGAAAGCTCTGCCTCTCTGCTAAAATCACGAGTTGACGGCGGGGGCCAGCAGCTGAGGTAGCGGCAAAATCGGTGGGCGTGCACAGGTGCGAATAGAATTCAACGGCGCGGGCAAGGTCCCTTTGAGACACTACGGGCGCACCCTTCGCAGCAGAATGCGCCTCATCGTGGATCTGTTTTCCTTTCTTCCACCTCCGCTTCACTGTAACACCTACCTTCAAATTATCGATTGGATGTGAAAAGCTCATTCACTTGGCTACAGTAACATACATGGTTAATTACTCCTTTCATCTTTCGACTATTTACATAGTTCAATGTCAGCTTAGTTGGTAAAACTGGTGGTCCTCCAATTAAAAAACCAGAAGCGCACGATAAAAATGCTGAAAAAAAAGATGTTAAGATGAGTGCGGTGGTAAGTATCTGGGGTAACGTGTTGTGAAGGATGTATTTTTTTATATTACTGCATATTATGAAGTGTGAAAGAATCTGATATGATTTTCCGGATCAGTGTATTCGATCCCACCCTCTCCGATCACGGACAAGATTACGTGACTACTTGAACTCTCCCCTATGTTCTCTGCCGCGAAAGGCCAGAGCACAGACGATTAGAGAACGGCGCCTGGCTCGGCTCCAAATCCCAAGAAGGAAGGTGAGAGCCCTAGGACTAAGCCTTGGAGGGAGGAGGGACTCCGGAGTGGGTGAGCCAATTACATTGTGGCAAAGTTTGAATGTGTCAGATCACAGTAATCATAAGCCGCTGTTAAGCGAGAGAGCGCAGGCGAGAGCATCGAATCGAGGCGGTTTGAAGGACTGAGTTCAAGTTGTCCGTAGACCCACGGACAACCGTTCTTTAAGAAGTTCCGAAGGGGATGCTGTATCTGACCTGTGTGGTGGCGTGTTGCTTTAGGGCGTGCGGAGAGATATCAAATAGGAAGCTAGATTTTTGAAGTATCCAAAGAATTAAGAAATGATCATATTATCGCTGTCGACCCAGTTTTGGGGAAGAGCAAAGAGTTGGTAGGTATTGGATAAGGGTGAGAGGGGAAAACGTGGACCGTTGTAGGGCTTGAAGGAAGAGAAGGAGAAGCGTGTAGGCACTCGTTGGGCAAACTTTTCTTTAAATTGTTTCTTTTATTCTGTGGCAGTTATGATGACAACAGCAGCCAAACAATATTGCCCAAACCATTATATTTACTGCTTTGTCGATTTTGCAGTTGGAGCCAGAACCAACCGATCTTCAAGCGCAAGACCGGCCGACATACGATCCGATTTGTTTGAACTGCCATGTAACAAAGAAGGAGGTATGTACAACTCTCGAGAGCTTTTCTAAACACATAGAATATGAATGTCTAGGTGCCACCAGATCATTTCCAACTATACCTACATTGCCTTAAATACTCTACACAAAAATGGAGTTACAGTACACCACTTCCGAAGTGGGCTGTGGAACCAGAATCTCCCTAGAATATGTCACTGATACTCTTTTACTGCGGCATAGCTTTCTAGATTCAGTTTCGTTGTTGATTGTTACTGTTTGGAACAGGTTGTTAACTTATTTATTGTTGCTTAATGAGATAATAATTTTGATCAATGATTAGAGGTAAAACGACGAACCAGGAACGAGAATTGAATGTTAGTAAACGTACTCATTTCCACGATACAATTAGCGAATAAATTATTTCCTACCACTAGTGAGAAACATCATTCATATAGCAGTTCGTCTGCACAATATATGCCGGGTTGCGTAATCCTCATAATCCGGCGTTTTTGAAAACGTTTTCCACTTCCAAGTATACCTTAGACGGAAAGGTTGACTATATAAGAGTTAAATTTCACATATTAATATCACAGATTAACTTGCAATGGAATACCTCTTCGGGAGATTTATCGCTCGGTACCTCCTTGACGAGCCCCAATTTTTCGTAATGCTGTATGATAGGAAGTGTTTGGTTATTATAGGTTTCTATTCGTTTCCGTAAAGACTCTTCATTGTCATCAGTGCGACCCTGTCCTGAAAATTTTAGATTTTAAAATTTCAAGAATGAACTCTCGCAACTATCACCATGCACTGTTTACCTCGGTGAAGACATCTGGATATACACACATCAACAGGGCATGAAAGGAACAGCACAAACCTGACGTTAACCTGAAAAAAAAACTTCCAAACTCACTAGTATCAGTAAACAAAACCAAAGACTGATTTTGATAAATGGCGCGTAGGCGCGAGTAGTGTCAACCACCAATATGGTGCCATTATGGACGACCGGTTTTACCCTGTCGGGCTTTTTTCATTCCCGGTTTTGGAGTGCTCTCAATGATTGCATTCCGCTGATCTAGGAAGGTACGGTACTTTATCTGCATATTAGTTATGTGATGTCTTAGCTGGTCTCGAAGCTCTCGTAGGGTAGCGAGACATTTGGTCGGATAAATCATGAATTGGTTTCCACCTTTTTAGGCTCCGAAGAAGAAGAAGCGAAATCGCCGAAACGTTAGCCACCGGAATCATATTGTCAACCTCGTGTACTGTTAAGTCAAATAAACTCGTACTATAACTATGCCGAGGTTCATCGAGAGTCGATCATGGCATCCGAAAGAAACTGCACAATACGCGGAGACACTGATAAACTGTCACCGCATTGCAACTGCGGGTTAGGCAAGAAGCGGCGAATAGACATTTGATAACGGATGGCCGTGCAGTGCAGTGTTTATAAAAACAAGGATCTACGCAACATGCTTCCCTACCACTGTCCAATCTGGTCTTGTTTTCTCCAACCCTTTGTTCTTCAAAAAAGAGCGCGGCACTTCAAAAGCTAGCTGTGTCACGTCTTTCTCGGACTGCTAGTGCGTGCAGAAAAGGGGACGAAGACTGAGAATGTCCACATATTCATACTGATAAAAGCAAACCACTCCTGATCTAACTGGTGAGGATAACAAACAATTTGTAGTGCATCGAATTTGATGAAGCGAATATTGTACGGCGTATTCCACGCTTACGTGAGGATTAGCGCGGGGATCGTGTTCCCTTCCCACATTAGTCGCCTTTCCACGCGCTGCGCCTCCTCTATGCGACCGCGGCTTATGCGATCGTTACGATCGAACGACCGACTACGAACGCTCGCATAAATAAGGGCTCATCTGTGATACACGTAGGTTACTCTATCCCACTTACAGATCACACTCTTTGAAACCATCTCATATGGGGTCGATGGTTCAAACACAAAGAAAGCTGCTGCCCTGCGATTAAAGGCACAACTCAGGCAGACTTCTTCATGTGACGCTTTCTCTTGGTGTTGAGTATAGGACCCCTAGGGCGCGATGTGCTGTCCGGTTAGTGGCAAGTGGCACGCTCACCACGCGAGCGGTCCCGGGATCAAATCCTGGGTCGTGAGTCGCCCGGGCCAACCAAGCCTTCCACCCCTCCGGGGTCGATTAATTGCGTACCTCAGACGTTGTCTGGGAAGGATATAAAAAACACTGATTTGAACATCGGCTGGCCCCCGAAAGTCATTGTTCTGTAGGCTACATTGCATTCAAACGCCACTTACGATGCTAATCAAATGGTAAGTCTGACGAATTGCGGTGCTGTGCATCCAAAAAAGGGACTTGTACTACAATCGGCATATGTTTTCTATGCCTTTACTAGCCCGTTCCTAGGACATTACAAATGTGGGGTTCCCTGTGCCACGAAAACGCATCTTGACAAGCAGCTCTTTGGGCCCTTACAAATCAAGCTGCTCAGCTGCAGATTTTGATGTTTTTCTCTTAACAGGCTGTTCTCTGGCACTCTCTCAACCGCGGCGCTCTTTCGCCTCACAGCCGCATTCCTACGTTCTCTCATTCTATCTAGCACAGACCGTTTAGAAAGCTGTCGATGAGTGAGGCCCAAGACTGTCGGAGCGTTTTACGGTATTTCTTTTGCCTCTTTCTTTTGAGCCGCAGCATCCCTTTAACTCGCCTACAAGTAATAATGTGTACGCAGAATTAAAAACTACACTGGCTCACCCTATGCGCCTTTCGATTTCGTTGTTCCTCACTCTTCTAAGGTTGATTCCTGGATTACTGAGGGATAACCATCCAAACGAGCGATACCCTTAGCATCCACCTGCAGCATCCATTGCCTGAACATATTTCATTACAATGGCTAATCGATTGTGTGAACATAGGACTATTTTCGTCAATACTTCCAATGCAGAGCAAAGACCACTCTGGAGCTCCAGTCAATCATTTTTTTGTTACCAAGACTGCAAACCATACATTTCATTGATAAACAAGTCTGGCCTTTTGTGAGCTTATTGTTTGATGCGACTTCGTTGTGATTTTTTGTCGCCCTTATACGCCTATGAAGTTGGCCAAAGTCCTACATTTTCTACACAGTGAGGGATTTTCCACAGGTACAATGGTCCATCGTTATTGTGGGTGCTCGCATTGTGTGACCTAATTGAGACCTTGTCGTTGCCGTTCAGCACGCAGAAGATCTCCTGCTGACAAGTGCATAAAGCCAAGGGTTCTAGAATCACATATTTTAAATGATACGATTACTCCAGCCACTGATAAATGGTGGCGCACTTCATGGATTTTTATACACACTGAGTTCCTTTTCCTGAGCCTGGCGGTCCCAATACGAAAACGACGTTGTATAACTTCTGTGTTGGAGCCATGGCCACCAAATGAGAAATCTCTGTAATAAAACCAATCAGTCCATGACCAGCCTTGGGTCTCTTCCTTGCTTAGGTAACGCATACATTGATTCCATATTAGGATAAGCGGAGTGTTACATGGCGTACGCTACACATTACCGTAAGGAATACTCTAGAATCTGCGATTTTATAGACATTCATTGACGTAGGTATTCAAGTGATTTGAAACCTTGAAGGATCAAGAGCATTTGACAATAGCAGTAACTCTCTATGGGCCGTATGCTACACTGCCCGTATGCTATTCTCGACCGTGTAAAGAGTGGGGAGTAAGACTTCAAAATATTGCGCTGAATGTATCACTGTCGGTCGACCGCATACCCTTCTGCCTAGAAAAACCATGCAAGCAACAGCCGCTATCAGCACAGTTCTTTCTCAAAGAAGGCATTGAAGATTTATCACCGTGAAGGAATAGCTTACGCCCTCTCTATGTCATTGATACCAAATTTACCAAGTTGCATCATTTTACAGAATGGGCAGTAGAAATGTAATATGAAGTATAAATGAGCATTTACTGCTGCGAAACATAATGGAAATCATGAAATGATTCCATTCGAAACTTCCAACATTACACTTTACACAAAAGTTGCACTATTTAGCCTGCAACTCGATAATTCTGCGTAATATAGAACAAGAGAACGCCCGATTACACGCTGTAACGAACACAAACTGACTCGACCCAATGGTGACACCGAGAGAAGTGGCGAGTGAGAGAGTGTTGGGCAGACGCGGATGGGCGGTGCTCTTGGGTGAACGTGAGGTCGTCAAGGGAGCAGCACTCACTGCAGTAATCGCTTCACCACAGCGTCGGCTATCCTCTTGAAATCAAATAGTTTGGCGTTAGTGGAATCAAAGAAAAAGCTAAACACTGTGATCAAACAGCAGCAAAGCAATGCAAACATCAGTTGGTTCGATAAATACAAGGAGAGCGAACTCTTCCAAAAAACCAAAGCGCTATATGTACATATTCATTTGTTAACCAGTTGAGCACCCATAATTTCAGTTAATCATTTGCACATAATAACGAATGCATAAATCCTATTCTCCAAAAGGAACAATTTCCGGTGAAATCAAATGAAAGTTTCTTGGTTAATAGCAAGTAAATCTAAAAACCATCATCAGCCTCATCTTTAGGCCTGCTGTGAGAATTCATGCCACCGGGCTTCGAATTTGATGCAGCCAAACTCTCTTCAATCTTCTGGATCTCTTCCACAGATACCTAAACTCGGAGAATGTCAAAATTGTATTAATGAGTGTGATAGTGAAACAAAAAGAGATAGCTAGACTATTTCAGAAAACGAATTGAACTAGAATGGAAGGCCTATTGAAATTCAGTCAATCGCATCATTTTCAGCCTAAAGAGACAGTTTGATGTGGCAAATTGATCGCTACTGTAACTGTCTTTCCCTGCAAGCAATAAAATTTTGCTGTAACTAGCTTTCTGATCCCCTGTCTCACCTAATCTTCTAGATTTTGCAGAATAAAGGACGAAGGATTTGACGCTCACCAGCTCTTTTCTAGGAAGCTCTATTCCGAATGGGCGGAAGTGGTGTAGTGGCAAGTGGCACGCTTACCACGCGAGCGGTCCGGGGATCAAATCCTGGGTCGTGAGTCGCCCGGGCCAACCAAGCCTTCCATCCCTCCGGGGTCGGTTAATTGGTACCAGACTTGTCTGGGAGGATAAAAACACTGACTTGTACATCGGCTGGCCCCCGCAAGTCATTGTATAGGCCACATCGCATTCAAACGCCACTACGAATGTACAAATGGAAGTAGAATGCGTGCCGCATCCCAAAAAGGGATTGATCAACGGCAAATGCTTTATCCTTTATTTTATCCTTTATGCGGCATTTTAATAACTATTTTTTCTGAACAAAGACTCACGCGAGCCTATCGATGTACAAGTCATGGTTTTTCTCCTCTCAGACAAGACTACTACAAATGAAGTGACGACTATAATTTGGTCCTCAAAGCGCGAGAAAGCGGCCACTAAATTTGCCACGACTTATGGAGTTCAGTAGCAAGGAAATCAGTACAACCTACATTGTAGGATGGAACCTATGGGCATGACTAAAATGTACCAAAAAGTTTGAACACGAATTTCCTTACCCAGTACTGTCACGGAAAACCATCCCATTGTCCACAATATTCATGCTGCGTGCATGGCCGGGCATATATGCTGGCTCTGATGCTGCTGATCAAAATCAATATTATTTTTAACGCTATGTAAATTTTGCGAGCCACGAATTCACGTGACTCATGACTGGATTACATCTCTAACTTCAATGGAATTATAATTCGTTCAGTGATTCACGAGTAAGACTGATCATCACGGCTGACACGCGCGATGCATTGATCACACCTGCAGCATAAAACGAAACTGGCGAGAGCGCGAATAGGTTCAAAAGGCTTTTCCATAACAATGCATTATCAAAAATCAGAAAGAATATGATATCCTTAATGTGGTACGGATGCCTGTCCGTACTAGTTGTTGAACACACCCCGAACCCTTTGCTACAGAGCTGATGCTGCGTATAAATCATTTGGGTGGTCCAAAGTTATATTCTTTTCATTGAACCTTTCGAGGACCACACCATATGGATGAATGAATAAGAAACAATGAGTCCCTCCATTACAAAAACAACTGACTCTGTGAGCCGATTTGTAAGCTTGTAAGTCTGTTGGTCTGTGGACTGTCTAGCGAAGCCAGCCACCAACAAAAACAAGGTCCAACCCAATGTAATTGTTCAGCACGGAAAATCTTGCAGAGGTTTCATTCCAACGTGAATCCGGGTCGCTATAAAACCCTTTTCCATAGAAGCTACCCTTTTTGTCCATACGCATTCCCTCTACTAGGCGTTGAATTCGTAAGTGGAAGTGAGCACAATGGAAGGCATCAAGTATTCGCAGGAAAAGGGTGGTTCGCGTTGGCTGCTGCAGGAAAAAAATAGAAGATATATGATAGATTCTCCAAAAAAATAATGGATGGTATAAAGTAGACAATCCAAAAAAAATATCTGACAAGGGGTATTTGAATGCCATTTCGCCGAATTCAATAAATCGTTGATGTTTGTAGATCGAAGCGCAAACGGCGTACAACACAAGGTGATAGCATAAGACAAAAGCTGATAAGGGGAGGGAGGCGGGAAGGTCGCGAAGCAAAACAAAAAAGTGCTCAAAAATGAGTTCTGTCGCCAACGACAACATCTCGTTCAGAAATGACTCTAGCATGAGAACAAGTGAACATACTTCCACCACAATGTTATTAGTGAACTTATTTGACAGCTCGATTACAGAAGTTTTAATTAGAGCCTTAAAGGAATCTTCCACGGACCATGGACCAGTGGGCGGGACCGGAAGTGGTTTTGCGACGAAATGCATGGTAGGTACGGATCCACGTTCATGGGAAGGTTTGAAGTGAATCCTGTTCACGTAATAAGAAGTGTACGCTAACACATTACCGAAGTGAATACTCATAGAAACCGAGTTTGATAATAACTCTATGTCGTATCAGTTATACGAAACCTTGAAGGATCAAGAGCATTTGGGGGACGGCCGATGTGACAATAGCAGTAACTCTCTATGGGCCGTATGCTACACTGCCCGCATGCTATTCTCGACTGTGTAAAGAGTGGGGAGTAAGACTTCAAAATATTGCTCTGAATGTATAGTACTGTCGGTCGACCGCATACCCTTCTGCCTAAAAAACCTGCAAGCAAACAGCCGCTATCAGCACAGTTCTTTCTCAAAGAAGGCATTGAAGATTTATCACCGTGAAGGAATAGCTTACGCCCTCTCTAATGTCATTGATACCAAATTTACCAAGTTGCATCATTTTACAGAATGGGCAGTAGAAATCGTATATATGAAGTACAAATGAGCAATAATTTACGAAACAAAGGAAATCAATGAAATTCTGAAACTTCCAACAACATTTATCAAACAAAAGGTTGGCACTATTTTAAGCCTGCAACTCGATAATTCTGCGTAATATAGAACAAGAGAACGCACGATTACACGCTGTAACGAACACAAACTGACTCGACCCAATGGTGACACCGAGAGAAGTGGCGAGTGAGAGAGTGTTGGGCAGACGTGGATGGGCGGTGCTCTTGGTGCGACGGAGGTCGTCCAAGGGACATCACTACGGCATTAACGCTCACGGCACAACGACGGCCTATGCTCTGATAATATATAGCTTGATAAGAAAAAGCTAAACACTGTGATCAAACAGCAGCAAAGCAATGCAAACATCAATTGGTTCGATAAATACAAGGAGAGCGAACTCCTTCCAAAAAACCGAAGCGCTATATGTACATATTCATTTGTTAACCAGTTGAGCACCCATAATTTCAGTTAATCATTTGCACATAATAACGAATGCATAAATCCTATTCTCCAAAAGGAACAATTTCCGGTGAAATCAAATGAAAGTTTCTTGGTTAATAGCAAGTAAATCTAAAAACCATCATCAGCCTCATCTTTAGGCCTGCTGTGAGAATTCATGCCACCGGGCTTCGAATTTGATGCAGCCAAACTCTCTTCAATCTTCTGGATCTCTTCCACAGATACCTAAACTCGGAGAAATGTCAAAATTGTATTAATGATTGTGATAGTGAAACAAAAAGAGATAGCTAGACTATTTCAGAAAATGAATTGACTAGAATGGAAGGCCTACTGAAATTCAGTAAATCGCATCGTTTTAGCCTACCAAGAGACCAGTGATGTTTCGAAATTGATCGCTATACTGTAACGTCTTTCCCGGGCACCAGCAATAAAATTTGCTGTAACAGCTTTCTGATCCGCCTGTCTTACCTAATCTTGTTTAATTTTGCAGAATAAGGACGAAGGTGTGACGTCAATCACTCCTCTTCTAGGAAACTCTATTCCGAATGGCGAAAATGTGTAGTGCAAGTGGCGGGCTTACAGCAGATGGTCCGGGATCAAATCCTGGGTCGTGAGTCGCCCGGGCCAACCAAGCCTTCCATCCCTCCGGGGTCGGTTAATTGGTACCAGACTTGTCTGGGAGGATAAAAACACTGACTTGTACATCGGCTGGCCCCCGCAAGTCATTGTATAGGCCACATCGCATTCAAACGCCACTACGAAGTAGCAATGCATCCCAAAAAGGGATTGATCAACGGCAAATGCTTTATCCTTTTGTTTTATTCCGAATTTCTGCAGCATTTCAATACTATTTTTTGAACAAAGACTCACGCGAGCCTATCGATGTACAAGTCATGGTTTTTCTCCTCTCAGACAAGACTACTACAAATGAAGTGACGACAGCAATAGGAGGGTAGG